TGTTGTTTGCTTTTTTGGTAATTCTGTCAATATGAGCTCCCCATGTTAAGTTGTTGGTAAGCTCAATTCCAAGATAACTAAGTTGTTTTGTTTATTGGAGAATAACATAACTCATTATATATTTATAATGCTGATTGTTTTTTTTTTATTGCTTATTTTAATCCCTTGCATTTGTTGGGGTTAAATTTCATTTGCCATTTATTGGAGCACTCTACTTTATCTAGATCATCTTGTAGTTGTTTGGCATCCTGGTCATCATTAATACATTTAAATAATATGCAATCGTCGGCAAATAGTTTTAATTCAGACATTATATTTTTTGTGATGTCGTTAATATAGAGTTATTTAATTTCAAGAAAAAGCCCCATCGATTTGAAACGAATCACTTTCCACTTCATTAAATTGACCACACAAATGATTTGTTGTTATCTTACTCCAATTATTTACAATTTGGAAATTATTTTGTTGTTCAGTGAGTTATATATATATATAGGCCAATGTTCAGAAAATCTTAATGGCTTGACGTTTGCTCTGCAGAGTGTGCTTTTTGACCATGGGAGCCATAGAACAACAACAATTCTATTGACAATCAGGCGGTTCGAGAGAAGGCATTATTATCCCTGAAATTGGAGCATCAACAACAGATACACAGCGAGAGGTTGGCACTGTCTCATAAAATTTAAACATTGGACTCAAAACCAAGCAAAATTAGAGACTAAATCATCTTCCAATTTCAATTTAATAAATTGTACTTTCCATTTACTTTCGATGTGTTTAAATACTTGTTTACCGCTTGTATCATGTTCGTTTCTAGCTTAAAAACGTTATTTTATAATGAGGTACTTATCTTCCAGAACCTGTCTACCAATTTAACATTTTATCAGTATAAAGATTATTACATGATGTATTTAAAAGTTGGAAAATGTAAACTAATAAAAGTGTATTGTATATCAAAACTATTATTTATTATGATAATAATAATTATTATTCATTTTATTAGAATTAGTAATAAAAATGCAAATAAACATGATCTCTGGGTACCGTAAGTTAAAATTCAGCAGGAAAATGGGAACCTTTAAAACTAGAGTTTAACTCTAATTAAGTTTAGATAGACGTTCCCTCTAGAAATATAAAATTGTTGCATATTCTTAAGTTGTATGTGTTTAAATATTATTTTAAAACATGATTTTAATACCTTATATTTTTAGATGAAAAAAAACCACAATTTCGCTGTACAATATGCAATAAATCTGCTCCACAGGTAGTATCAACCCCAATTGTGTACATTTTTTTTATTGTTTATTTTATTATTTGTTCTTTATACTGGGTTTCCTCTTCAGTAACAAATTACTGTTCTCCCAGAGGGCCCAGTACACGACAGGGGCCGAGTAACCAGTACACCGGGGTAACCCCCTACTCATCTCGAAAGATGTACTGTACTGGGTTCTTTAAAGTGCACATGAGCATTTGTGTACACTGGGCCTACGGTTTATAGTCCTTATCCGAGAAGACTTGTTCCACGACCGCGAACCTGTGCCGATATTGTTGGCTAAGGTCACGGTGCCCTTGCCTTAACCGCTCGGCCATTTGGCTCGCTCAAACATAGTTCGGGTGCTCAAATTAAACATAATGTAGGCCCTACATTAAAACTAAAATTGTATGTGTCTTTATTTAAATTTTTTTGTACCCGGTATTGTCAACAAACGCTCCTTGAAATCGATTTAAAACAGCGTAAAATGCTCAGATCCTCAGGGCACCGCCTCTGCACCCCGGGCCATTCTTATACACATCTAGATGTGTATAAGAGACGTGTACTCACGCATTTTAAATCTTTAAGGTTAATAACTATGAACAAAACATACAGTAATCTGTCGATTCTGAAATTTAAACTTTTCAAAGTGAAAATTTGGCAAATTTTCTGCAAAAAAACGTAAAAGTTTTGCGTTCTGGTGGCACTTATAGCTGCTTTAAAAAAGTGATTTCTATTTTTTATTATTCAAAGTCTCGCTTTTCATTTGGTTTGAAGTTTAGATAGAAACGCCTCAAGACATTGCCAATTGTTTCATATTCATCATTTGCATATTTTATAATATATTTTAACAAGATTTTATATGAAATATAAAGTACATTAAGTTAATACTAAATGTTCATTAAAATCACTAGAAATTATTTTTTTAAATAAGGCAAAAAAAATCGATTTCGCTGTACAATAATACAATAAATAGGCCAATGTATCCTCGTTGATTGCTTTTGCAGGTAATAACACCAGTACCATACGTACAATTGAACCAAATATATTCTAATAACATGCTTAATAAAACCACCTGACTCTCTCCCTGACGGGTTCCGGGGTCGACGAGGCTTCTTGTCGGTTATACGCCGGTAACCCTACGCTGAGTCTGGGCTCGGGTCTTGGCGAAGGCCCGAGCCTTGGCGAGGTTGAGTACTTAGC